AAATTTAATAAATTAAATTTAATAATAATATTGTAAGTGTATTTAATTTTTTTGTTCTTATACAAGACGCAAAATCAACTGATTCGCTTAACTGCAAACAATGTAAGTATAAAATTGTTTAGTTTACACAAATACAAGCCTCTGCCTGTAGTCTACATTTTATTCAAATAAACTTATGTTATTATTAAAATTAATCCATTTTCTGTGGCTTTAAAATAAATAATGCCACAAATTTTCTAACAAAATTTTAGTTTAGCCAACGTAAATATTACGTATACGACTCGAACCACACAATTTGGATGCAGAGCAAATAGCAAGTAGATCAACAGCATCACAATGTTTGCAGCTTTGACTTTAGCGCTGCCCAATATGCGAGACTTAAAAATGCATTGAAAATTGCACAGGAAAAAACCAAAAACAAAAAATGCCGAAGCGAAACGCAACGCCAGACTGGAAACGGAGCCACAATGCATTTTAAACAACAAGTAGCCGAGCCGTGGGCCAGGCCAGAGCAGCACTTGCCACCGGAATAGGCAGGCAGTCGAGGCAGGCTGGCGAGCCTGGCTGGCGAGGCAGGCAATATGTTTGCTTGTATTTTCGTTAGCAACATGCGAGGCTACAGCGCCAGCGCCAGCTGCAGCTCCAGCGCCAGCTCCAGCGTCAACGTCAGCTTTAGTTTGAAAATCAGCCAGCTAACCAGCAGAAAACAAGCAGGCAAATAAAAACAGGACGCAGAAATGAGGCCCTCGAGCACAGAGACTAGGCACCGGGCACAAATTCAATATGGCGCCACAGAGGAAGTGCAACAGACGCAGCTAGCCAATGTGTGCGTGTGTGTGTGTGCATGTGTGTGCATGTGTGTGTGTGTGTATGCTCTCATTGAACCAACAGCTTGTGGCGTCAATTTGTGGACATTATTGTTTCATGACTGTAGAACGGGCCACGCCGCACGAGCTCTAAGCAAACCCTGACAACTCGCCGCAATCACTGCCATTGCGGGGGCTTTGCTGTAGCAGCAGGATGGCAGTGAGCGAATGGGGCAAGGGGGCGTGGCAGTGTATGGCACTGCACAACCAGCAGCTGTTGTGATCTAATTTTTGATTATTTACGCGATTTGCGTGTTAAATTTGCACGAAAAATTAATTGCGGCCACAGTTTGTTGGCTTTTGGTGGCTCTCTTGGATTCGGTTCGTCGATTTTGGCCCCGAAAATGTTCTGTTTGGATATGGAGATATGTGGCACACTAGCCTGTTAGCCACTAATTAATTACGTACAAATGTGTGCACACACACACACACAAACAGACATATATAAATACATATATTTATCACAAAATCAATTAGATAACAAAAATTCAGGTCATGGAGTGTGATAAATGTATTTTCAAGGATCTGTGCAAAAGTTTTGCTTTTAGCCGAAAAAAGAGAGAGAGAGAGAATAAGTGACACTTGTAAAAATTGAATACAAAAATTTAACAACATATACATTCAAATATATGTGACGTGTGGGTAATCCAGAGCCTTAACTTCTTTCTAGTCTCATCTAACTTTTGGCTAATTCTATGCCTACATCAGCCCAGGTAGAGCTTAGGTAGTTAATTTGTCATTCATACAATTTGTATCTATGTATGGAATAGAAGCAGCTGAGGCGTTTAGCAATGCCTACAATATTAACAGGAGAGATGCACACACAGAGATTCGATTGAAGTTGAAGAAATGCAAGAAATAAAAAGCTCTCAACTCGATGGGATTAATTTAATAATACAAAGTCAAATATGCAAATAATGAATATTTTTTATTGGGTGTATACATTTATACTTTTTACAAATTTCAATTTATATTGTTTTCACCGTCTTAGCAATAAATAAAGCAAGAAAGTTTTCAGAGAGTTTCATGCAAAGTTCGATGATTGATTTTCTTAAAAATTAAAATTAAAAAATTATATCATATT